CACCAGGAGACTGTTGTTGGGGGAAGTGCAATATGAGCAGGGGCTGACGTCACCACTGTCACAAATTGGAGACATACCATCATTACCTGTCACCCAGGAGGTGCAGTGCATCACAGGAACTGAAATCCGAAATTCCAACATGTGTCCCAAAATGGGACAAGGACATGAAGATGGAGGGAAATAATTAAGGAAAATGAAGCTAAAGTACACTAAAGTTATGATTTGTTGTTTTGTCCACTGTGGGTTTTATCCTTGGTTAGGAAACTGTGGCGGAAAGAAACAAAAATGGAAATAAAATGGAATAAAAAATACTGATCAGAACATTCTTATTTCTATAAGGATGTTCTTCTTGAAAATAAGTATATGGTCTTATTTCAATAAGAATTCACATTTCCTACTGGCGATAAATGAATGATGCAGGAAAATTCTTGTTTTCTTTGCATTCCATGTCACTGTTACTCGGGGTGCCTTCTGCAAGAGACTGAGGGCTCTCCAAACCACAGGCCTGCATGTGTCTTGTCCGGCTCACACACACCTCCTAACTCCTCTCACCGTGGTGCTGGCCCCACTGCCGGGCCCCTGGGCTGGGTCAGGGACCAGCCTCCCCACTGGTCTCTTCTTAGTCCCATTTCAGCACAGCTGGATAACAGGCCTTTCCAAACCCCAGTCTGCAGGTCCTCTCCTGCTCCTGAGAGACAGAGCACACGCACAGACAACGGCCAGACCATCTGTAAAAATGGAGCTCTGACCACAACCTGCAGTGACCTGTCCAGGAAGCTGATCCCTCATCTACAGTGAGCATCCCAGGGAGCTCACTGCACCCGCTCCTTCCTCCCCAGGCTGCCACCTCTCCCTTCCTCTCTCCTTGCTCCTCCTCTTCCCTTCTCCCTCACCCCAGCCCCAACAGCAGCTTCTTCTCCTCCCAGTTGAATCTCTCACTGCGCTGTCCACTCTGAGTGCAAATACTGCTCCCTGTGGCATCTCCCCCGCCTGCCTCCCGCGGTGTGGCTCCAGCGGGCCCCACTGCACAGGTCCCCTGCCTCATTAGGGTTGTTAGGTGGTCCTTCCTTGTTGCATATCTTCTCCAACCAGACAAAGCTTCCCCAGAGCTGGCGCCCTGTTTTCCCCTTCCCACACATTGCAGCTGGCACAGTTCCTGTACACAGTAGGCGCTCACTAAATACGGTCAACTGGAGGGATGAAGACTCAGACTGTGGTTGGTGGCCCAGCTATCCTCCTAGTCATAAGAAAAATATTCGGGATATATAGGTTTCTTTTTCCTATGGTCCTAAACGCTCTCTCTTTCTCAACTTGTCCCACTTTCTGCTCTGTGCATGCAAAAAGGCTGCTCCAATAGAATCCTATAGACTTGGCGGTTTAAACAACAGACGTTGATTCCTCACTGTTCTGGAGGCTGGAAGGCCACCATCAAGGTGCTGGGGGGGTTGGTTTTATTCTGAGGCCCCTTCTCTTGGCTTTTGGGCAGCAGCCACTTTGCTGTGCTCATGTGAGCTCTTCTTTAATCCCATCAAGGGTTAAAGACCTCATCTCACCCTGATCACCACCCCTGACACCATCTCCAAATGCTGTCACACTGGGAGTTAGAGCTTCGACACATGGATTTGGGAGGACATGAACATTCAGTCCATAATAAAAGATAAGAATTCTGTTTCCTTAAATGATACAGTATGATTTGCTAAAATTCATTGGGGGATTTTCTCTGACATAATTAAATTTTTTCTAATTCTTATAAATGTGCAATTCTTACGTATTTAATTTCTACCTTAGCTTGACTTTGATATTAGAAAGAACTAGCTTATCTTTTTTTTATTTTTATTTTTTTGCTAAAGAATTTGTATTTCAATCATGCTGGAAGTTACAAATGATTTCTAATGATCCAAAAAGTCAAAATGTGAATTGTCTTTTTTTAAAGAATGCTTTAGGGATGGAGAAATAGCCTGTCTGTCTTCACCCGCACTTGAAGGACCCCCATCACCTGATACCCCCCAGGCCCCGTTCTGGGCAGGTGGGTCTCCTGCTTCATCTCCCTTCACTGAGCAGTTACGAGTGTGCCAGTGCAGAAGAAAAATGTGCTAAAAATATGAAATACCCAGACGAATAAATAGAATGTCTCAATTAATCCTCATTTCTGCACATTCTGCTCTGGACCATCTGCCTTCCTAGAATATCCTCCTTCTCTGAGTTTATAGCACTTAAGACTCTGCTTTGTCATCTAGTACTCGACTGGCTTCTTACCATGGTGCTCTGTGCTTTAAAGTACTTCCACAAAGAGCCATCTCCCCTGAGCCCCGCAGCCGCAGACCCTCAGTCCTTCCTGGTGGTGCCTGGGTGCTGCTCGCAGAAGGGGGTCAGAGACCTGCGCTGACTCCTCACCCCACAGGAGGCCGGGCCTGACCGTCACCGTGCTGACCCACAGAGCCAGACAAGGCCCTGGTCTGCTCTTTCCTTGCCGCTCCCTCCCCAGTCCTTCCTCATGCCCCTCAGATGGGACCCATGTGGGTAGCATTTTCAACACCATCAATTTCCTCCTCAGGCCAAACAAACCCTGAGGTATTAACAACCTCATTTTATAAAGGAAGAAGCAAACCCAGGGAGGTTATGAAGATGGCCGGGCCTTGTCATAGCCAACAGCCCAGGAGGACCGGAGCCCTGGGCTGTGTCCTCCTGCTGAATTACTGATCGAGGAGTGGCATCTCGAGTTATATTTACTTACTGCAAACCTGCCTGAGAGGAAATGCAACATGACCAGCAAGGAAGTGGACTGGTGCCTTGGGCAGATGGAAGTGTGTGTCTGTGCCACCATGGTTGAGAGAGAGACAGAGACAGAGAGGGAGGGAGGGAGACTGATGATTGATCACTGAGGACACTTTCTGTCTGAAGGTGCCTCGGTTGCATTCTGCTCGCAGTCTACAGAGTTTTATGGTTGGTTTGCTCAGTTTGCAGAGTTCGTTTGCTTGGTCAGTTTGCTCGGCTAGTTGGCATAATTAGTTTGCTGGCTGCGCAGACAGGCCCGGGATCCGCTGAGCTGGAATGCGTTCCTGTCTGGCTGCACTGTGGAGGCTGAATCATTAGGAAATGGACCCTGGTTTCTGAGAAAAATAAACACTGTCAGAAACCTCGAGAGGCCCAAGCCCACTGCATCCCCTTCAGCGCTGATTCCACACGATCTTGGCAAGAGAGACACAGCTAAGTTTCCAGTCCTGTGAGACAAGGACAGCGTTCCTAATCACGAAGGATGGAAGTCTGCACTTTCCAAAGACTGCATTCAAAGCCCCTTAGCTGTGAAAAGCTCCAACAACGGCCAGAGATGGTCAAATAGAGCCGAGTGTGCTATATACCTGGAATTTCACGGCCATTTCTGCAGAACGGCCAGCTAGGGATGCACGCTGTGAAAACTGTGTCGACAGAGGCGAAAGCTGGAACCCTCAACTCTGAATCTATCTCGAGACCTCACCCGCCAAGAGGCCCTGGCAAAACCAGTGCCCCATTGCCTCGTGTGCCATGCGGTTGAGAATTAGACCGTTTTTATAAAATACCCTGTGTAATACCTTTTATAATAAAACCCCCATCATGGGTGGGTTCGAATTTTTCTTCAAATATCAACGCAGTTTTTTAAAAAGCTCAAGAAGACCCTTTCACCCCTGTTAGTAAGCAGATTCCATGAAGCACAAGTGGGAATTCTATCCACACAGACTCAATGCAGTGCGTGAATTTCAAAGTCAGCTCTGGGACCTTAGAAATGGCTGCATTTTCGAGGTTTTACAGGGAGCAGCCCCTCCACTCTATCTTCACTTTCAGAAAACTTAGCCTCTCACTTCCCACAGATCAATTTAGATTTCTTTGTTCTAAAATGTTAATTGCTTTTTAAAACGTATCTGCTTTTTAAAATGCTCTTTAAACTGTATCTGAAACTAGCTGTTTGTTACATGAATGTCTAACTAACGCCCAGTATAAAATCTACTAAAATTTTGGCTGGTTTGCTTATCATTTTCCTTCAAAAGTTCCTGCCAACCCTGCAGATTGTGGCAGGGGCTGAGGGGGTCCAGACCCCGCCATGAGGGACCACGGGGTGGACGTTCCCCACGCCACCAGGCCCAGGGAAGCGTTTTGGAGAAGTTTTGACTGATTCAGGATACAGCTGCCTTATGAATTGAAAATACTGTGCTAGTCAGCAAGCAGCTTCCCTGAAAACCTGATCTTCTCCTTGAAATGTTGAGAGAAATTTTCTTTAAAAAATAAACACCAAAAAAGGTATTTTTTCAAAAACACTTTTATGCTCAACTTCTGTGTATTGGAACCAGAGTTTGGACTGTCCTCACGTGAAATACATCTTCCCACCTTGGGTGAGAGAGCGCCTACGAGATGGGAAAGGAGGAGGGTGTCCTGAACACCTACTGTGTGCCAGCCGGGAAAGGAGCAGAGGGAGGTTACAAGGGAAAGAATATTCTCGAAGATCACAGCATCATCAGGGTGTTGATTCACGGTGAGGGCTTGACACGGGAGCTCACATTCCAACCCAATTTCCAGAGCACAGTCCTGCAACGGTCTCCAAGGACGCTTTTTGGGAGGAATGGTTTAACAGGACTGGGACTACAGTGCCCAGCCCAAGTGGGACCAGGACAGGGTCAGCTACCACCAGGATTACAACACAGACGCCGGGAAAGCCTGGCTGGGACGTCTCTGTCCTGGGAAGATGCTGACAAAGTTGTAAGTTGGCTGGGGTGGCCTATACAATCTGAAATTTCCCAGTTCTCTATGAACGTCCCTGTTGAGCGGGGCAATGCACCCCACAGAGTCACAGTGACCTCAGGGGACCTGCTTCGTCATCTCTGAGGGGACCCCTTCAAACGGTGACTTGGGAGATGAAGCAAATTGGCAGGACACACAGATCCACATCTGCATATTGAGCAGCTGAACACAGCCGGACCCGTCCTTGGCCATGGAGAGGCCCCTTGGTGCCTGTGCGCCCCCGGTCCTCAAGAGGAGGCTTCTCCTGGAACACGGGTCGCTTTGCCCGGGGACGTGCTCAGCCGCGTCCCCACGGGCCTCACACCATGGTCATGACCTTCAGTGCGGCCGGCTGGAACCTGCGGATCTTTTTCTTCAGGGCCTTGGAGGCCTTGACGCGACACAGTTTGGGCACGGGCGGCAGCGGCGGCCTGGAGCCGGCGGGGGCCCGCGGGGACTGCTGGGGGGCCGCCCGAGGCCAGGCCAGGCCGCCCCCACGGCCCCGCACACCGGCCTCCCAGTCACTGCCGCTGGACTCCCCGTCCCCGAAGCGGTTGGCGGTGTGGTCGCTGGCCTCGTCCCCGCTGCTCTCCGCGACGGTGGAGGGGCGCAAGGAGGGGCACTCGGCAGAGCGCTCGGAGCCGTCCGACTCGCTCCCGGCGAGGGCGTCCTGGCGGGGCAGCTGGGGCCTGGCCCGGGCGCACACGGGCCGCGGGCCGCCCCCTCTCCTGGCCGCCGGCCTGTGCGGCCCCAGGCCGGCGTCGGGGATGCCGGCCCCGCGCGCCCTGGCTGAGATCTCCACGGAGGACTGCCACCTGCGCTGCCTCCTCCTGGCCTCCCCGGCGGCCGCCACCAGAGGGGCCGCTGCGAAGGGGAACAAGGCCTGCGCCGACGCCCGGTGACCCTCCCGGCGGGCCACCAGCAGGGGGACGAAGCAGGGCACGGGGTAGAGGCTGGCCTCGGAGCAGGCCCTGCCGGGTGCCTCCCCGGACAGGGTGGGCCTCCTTCTGAGAGCGCCCCCCCACTCGGGGGACAGCTGGGGTGCCGCGAGGGCGCCCCACGAAGGCGGCTGCCTCCCAGACCTCAGCGCCTTGTCGCTGGCGCCTCTCTTGATCTTTGCGGCCTTTGTCTGGGGGGTGCCTGTTTTCAGCCCCCTGGGGGCAGCTCCACTGGCAACAAAGTGGGGGCGGCCACAGGGCCCTGGGGCCAGAGTGGGACTCTCTCTGCCCCCTCCCCCAGTGGGCGACCTGGCCCCGACCTTCCGGCCACCAAGAGCCGGCTGCCTAGCCCTCCCACACCCCAGCCGAGGGGAGCCCGGGGCGCTCTCCCCACCGACGCATCTGCTGGAGGGTTTGGGTACCTCCTCGGGAAGGCTGCTGGGGTGCGGGGTGCCCCCAAGGTGTGTCAGTCCCTGCTGCTGGAGGCTGTCCCCGCTAGTGTCACCCCTCTGAGCCACCCCTCCCACTTCTGCTCTTCCTGGGGCACAGACTGACTTCTCCAGGCGGTCCTCACTGTCCACTCTCTGGCCACCAAGCTCCTGCGGGGATGGGGATGCCTCACGTCTTGGGGGTCCTTGCTTACCCAAGCTGCCCCTTGGGGGGGTCCCTCGGCCCCGCAGTCGCAGCAGCCTGTCTATATAGGCTCCGGCCGGGCCAGCCTCAAGGACCGGTCTAGTCCGGATGGAGCTTGGACCTGTGGGACCGGGAGGGGCCTTACTAGGGGGTGAGTGGCCGTCACTCTGCGGGGTCTCCTTGGTCAGAGCAAACAGGGGGCTCTGCAAAGCAACCGCATGCAGGGGGCTGGGGTACAGGTACACCTCCCTGCCACCCTTGGAAACCAGGTCACGCTGGTACTTGGGGTCCAGCATGTGGGGCGGGAGGTCCATCCCACAGCAGAGGAGAGAAGTGGACTTGGGGTCTGCGTTGGCTTTCTGGAGCCCCACCTCAGCCAGTAGGACTCTCTCAAGATCACCTGGGAATGAGAAAAATGAACAAATACATCAGTAAGGGAAGCATCTAATGCAGGATTCAGTCCAGTGCATGTGCAGCCCAGGCCAGCAAAGCGCTCCTCCCGCCCCGCTTCCCTGGGAGACAACCTGCCACCTGCCGTGACACTCGGTGCCGAGACATAAAGAGCCTGGAAAAGTCTCCTTGGATGCTGATTCTATCACCGGTTCCAACCATTCCCCCTTCACTGATACCTTACAAGGTAAATCCTGACTCAAATGTATGAGTTCGACGGCCTCATCACAGAAGACTTGGAGGAGGCCCAGGGAGACGAGGCCTCCCCGACACACAGCGGACACCAGCCAGAGGCTGCAGCACAGACCCTCCCTGAGGCTCACAGATACGCCAAGAGGAAAGTGTGGGAACGCTCACCAAGGAAAGATCTAATGGATATGACTAAACCAGGTCTCATATTAGAAACAAACTGTGTCCCAAGGTGACGCCACTTCCTTTGGGACAGTCTGAGGAAAAAGAAAGGCTCCTTCCCGGGCCGTGAGAGGAATCTGCCTGTGAGCTGACCTCCCTCCAGGTCCTCTCTCAGCTGTGCCCACCCTGCTCTTCCGCAGATGCCAGTCAGGCTGCCAGAGGGTTTGGGAAGGATTTTTAAAAAAACTTTCTGATGTCCATTTTAAATAATAAGAAAAAAGGCTTTTCATTATAACAGACCTGCTGTGATGAATAGAGTGGGTGTTTAATTCCCACCTCCAATCAAAACCCAAAAAGCTGACAGAGTTTGGAGCAGCACCTGCAGGGTTAGTACCCACACCACACCCCTGGGCTTCCCTGCTCTGTGCTCAGCAGGGCCGTGGCCGCCCCCGGTCGTCCTGGGATGGGACTCGGGGACTGCCACACAGCTGTCCCCCCAATGCCTGGGTTGGGACCTCCCACCCATCCTGGCTCTCCTTTACCTGTAGACACCGGCCTGGGCCGGGATGCGCCCTCCTCAGTGGCCTGGGGTCCCCATGTGGACAGGAGGGCCCCACACACGGTGGTCTCGTCGGCTGACCAGGGCCGGCAGTCCCCCACACCGGGCCTGGCCTTGGGGGCAGCGGGCAGCAAAGTGCTCAGGGAGGAGGATGTGTGGTCACTGCACACAGACGTGCAGGATGCGGACAGGGAGCAGGAGCCGCCATCGCTCAGCTCGTAGAAGCCTAGACAGAGCAGAGAGAGGCGGTCAGTGCATGTCCAGGCAGTGGGCCCCTTTCTCAAACGAGGGAGCCTCTGCGCCAATGGGGGCAGGGGGACCTCATCAAGGCAGGCCTGGGAGGGGTCCTCCCCATTACTGTCCACTGTTGTCACACCAACAAGGCTGGGGGAACTCCCTGTACCCCCCCAATACACCGCTCATCCCTTTCCTTGGCAAGTGGTTCATGTCGCTGTATGTGACCGCTGCTCGGTCAAGTGGAGGCGTCTCCCCCACCTTCCAGCCCTGTACCACAGGCATCTTCCTCCCTCCCTCTTCGGTGCCTGTTGAGTTCATCTGAGGAAGCGATCAGAGAAAGGAGGGCATTTCGGGAGGTCTTCTGGCACCAGCCCTGCTACGTGTATGACATAGCCCAGACCGTGACACCATTGTGAAAATTTTAAAAAAGAGAAAGAAACCGCAGACAATGTTGTACGTGGAGAGAAGGCTAGTCTCCTGGGTCTGTCATCTGATCCAAGGTCTGACCTGTGTAACGTGGGTAAAAAGCCCAGGACCCTGGATGTCAGGATGACTCCACTGTTATCCCCACGTGACTTTAAGGTTGGGGGACACGAGGGCAGCAGGGGAAGAAACTATCATCTTCTCTGACAAATTATACTGATTTGAGACTGAATAAACCTATAGACTTAAAAAAATACTTTTGTTGTCTCATAAAAGTTATTTACAACTTCCATGTTGATCCAGCATAAATAGAACCCAGAATCTGTCTCAGCCCAGACAGAGGAGAGAAACCCATGGGTTTTTTTTCCCATCAAAAGCAATATTTTTCTAATTAAAAAAAAATGTATATATATATATATATACACATATATACACACTTTCTCTGTCCTTTTTTTTCTAAGCACATTTAAATAAAAGTTTTTCATTTTCAATATTCTTCAATAATGTGCTTTTTCAGGCTTGCATATAGCTCCTGACTTTCAGGTCAGGTCTGCCTGAGAACAGAGGCGGGAGGGCTGTTGACTACATCAGACCAGGAAGGCGCTGCTCCTTGAAGTAGAGGGTCCCCAGGACGCGTGGCAAAGCTCAGGCGGGCCAAGGAGGCAGGCCCTGCCCACTGTTAGACACCTGAGCTGGGCCTGCTGTCGCTGTCTGGGGCCTCGCTGGAGGTTCTGCGCACGTCCAGCTGCAGCTCGCTGATCTGCTGGTCCAGCTGGTCCAAGTGGGTTTTCAGGCCGATGTCCTGGCGTCTTAAACGGTTCTAAGAAGGCAAAGAGTGAGAAATCAAACTGCCATGAGGACAGAAACCGCCCCTCGAGGCTCCGTGCGACACTTCCGTGGTACATGTGATTAACCCCACTGCAGACCGCAGCTCCGCCTCACTGCGCGGAAGACATTCCCCCGCTGCGCTGGAATAAAAAGAGAGTCTACCCTCCAACAGACTTTTTTCCCCAATTGCAAACTTTTTCTTTTTTTATCAGGAATTTTCAGTTAGATATTGTTTTTTAAGGATATAGAGTAATACAGCTTCTGAGAGTGAAATCAGGATCAAAAACAGCACAAAAACCCCTCCTCTGGCAGGAACCACAGACACTATTCTCAGCTGTTGTCTTTTTTTCCAGCTCTATGTAAGATCTTTCCCCGTGCTCACGGGTAATGGCCTTGCGTTTGGTGGCTGCATGGCCGAACTCTTTCACACAGCACCCCTGTCCACACCCCACGGGAGGCATCTGGGGAAGGCTGATCTTTGACCTTTCATGGGACAGGAAATTCCCCAGGAGAGGACAAAAGGCCCTCCTGCATATGCTTAGCCCCCCTGTTTTACAGGCAGCACTCTGAACTGTTTCGGGTTTGGTAGAGCTCTCGGGGAGGGCAGGCCCTGCAAGAGAGGAGAGTGCCAGCCGTGCCTGGAACCAGCCCCACCTGAAACCCCGCCTGAGGATCTTTTTGGTTTAGATGTTATCATTTGAGCTCTGCCCGCAGAGGCTCTGTCTTCTCCAGGCCTCAGCTTCCCCAACTGCAAAATGGGTGATTATAAGCATTAACCACACACACATGTGTGTGTATATACACATGACGTAGTATATATATAATACACGTATGTGGTTAATGCTCATAATATATATTCATACACACATATACACACGTACACACACGTAAACAATATATAGTCACGTGCCACAGAATGATACCTCAGTTCAAAACGGACCTCATAGACAACGGTGCTCCCATAAGATCAGTACCATAGACCCTACGTGTGTAGTGGGCTGTACCATCTAGGTTTGTGTAAGCACACTCTATGATGTTCCCACAATGACGAAATCCCCTAGCAATGCATTTCTCAGAACACGTCCCCGTCATTAAGCGATGCATGACAGTATATGTAGAACAACCAGCACTGGCTGTTTAATAAATGCTAACTTCCTTCTTTCAATTATAAAACTTCACCCTGTCTTCAAGGTCCACTGCATAAATCTCTCGTTTTGATTAACAATTAAGTTTAAGGCAAATAATTAATGAACGCAATTATGTGGTTCCTCCTGTTTAAGAAAATGATTGTGTTCCAAATTTTTACACAGGGAATGAGGAATTCCCCATAATTTGGGGCTCAGGGGAATTACTTCAGTAATTTCAATAATATGAAAAATCAGTCCAGGAGAGAAGCAGGTGGCAATAATTTCCAATTCTTATGAGAAATCCCAGAGCGTTCTGATACTCCAAGGTGGGGTTAACCAGGTGAGAGGCCCCGGGCCCAACACGAGGCCCCTGGTGAGGGGCAGACCATCACGCCCAGCTCCACGTTACTCAGGGCCCAATTCAGGGTCTCAGAACAATCCCCAAGTTTTACAGTAATAGAGTCTCGCAGCCATAATATTATCTGTAAATGCAGCACAGTGTTTAAACCAGTCCTGAATTTAACGGAAACTTTATACTCCCAGAACCACCCAGACTGGCCTAAACATCCCGGCTTCTTAACCTGTCCCCCTGTGAACAGCACCACCAGAGGGGCCAGTGGAGCAAGCAACGATGGCTTCCGGCCAGTGACCATCCGTGTAAAAACACTTAGAATCAAACAAAGGGGCCAGTGTGTATTTTTAGTGCAAATGACTTTTTCTTTTCCTGTCATAAAACAAGACCACGCTACCGACAGAAGATTAAGTTCCTCTTAGGCCTTCAGTGTTTAAAAACATTGATTTGACCTCTTCTCTTACAAATCACGACGTTCTCTTTCTTCTGGAGAAGGAGGACATCTCTGCATCCGCCAGCTGGCTTCCTCCCCATCCCCAGTCCCCTTTCCCTGCGTGTCTGTGCTGCGATTGATGGCTCTGTGATTAATCCTTGGCCAGCCAGGCGTCCAGTTGGTGGTTTCTGATTAATGAGAGAGGCCACAGACACACAGCCTCGGGTCCTCACAGATGATTTACTACATCCTCAGGACCGTTCAGGATTTACGCCGTCCTCGTCAACCCTTCCCGTCCCTCACTGGGGTTTTTGTGTCTCTGCTTTTCATTAACTCCTTCTTGGCATGTAACTTGGTGCTAACAGTCAAACGTCCCTTCTGTGCCCAGGATGGAGCATAATCGACTGCAAAGCCAGCCACGGAGTGTCTATATCCACGTACTTCTGCAGAGGAAATGTGTTACAAAGACGTCACTGCTGCGTGATCATGACCAGCAGTCACACATTCCCTCCAGAGCAGCGAGCAAGCTTGGGGGGCCACCTCCACTCCCCGATCACTCTTCAGGGAACAGGAGCACTGTCGGGGCAGCGTATTGTGTCAGAACCCCCAAACCTAGCTAAGGGGTAAGGGGTGCCCGTGTCACAGGGAGCACAGCCACGGTTCCCCAGCAGGTGGGATCACCCGGCTATAAATGCAGATTCTTGGGCTCCATGTCGCATCCACCAACTGAGACTCTAGGGCACGCCTGGGAACCTGCATTTTAACATGCTTCCCAGGGAGCACAAACGGACCACAAAAGGTTTGAGGGCTTTTACCCAAGGAATGCCATGAAAAACACAGTCACGTATTGCTTAATGAAGGGGACAGTTCTGAAAAATGTGTTAGGCAATCCCGTAGCTGTGCAAACATCACAGAGTGTACTCACACAAACCTAGATGGTGCAGCCTACTACATGCCTAGGCTGTATGGCGTTAATCTTATGGGACCACCGTCATCTGTGTGGCCCGTGTCCACCATAGACTGAGACATCGTCAGGTGATGTGTCACTGTGTATTCAGCTTATCTCTTTCTTTGAAATGTTTACTGTATTTGCCATAAGGAAAGATCTAGTTTCCATTTGTTTTGTCTTTTGCTCCCATTTACAATTCAGCTTTCCAGCCTTCTCAAACCTTTATGGCAGACAAAGTGGACAAAAATGAAACATGCCCCCAAGTTCAGAATACAGAGCTGGCCTCTAAAACACCACCGCTCTTCCCTGGAAAGCTGGAATGTGCAAAGAAAACATTTCATGCATGAATTCCGTGGCTATCGCATGTGCCCTGCGGGTGGGTCAAGGTTACTACCTAACTTGAAAAGAAGTCCATCAGGCAACAGCAGAGGACCAGGTCACAGACCAGCCTCATGGATAACAAGCCCTGGAGACCCGCAGACGGAGGCCGGGCACGGTCCTGTGGATGCCTCACCCTCACTCCTGACCTTGAGTGTTCATTCCTCTATGAATTCTGGAAGCCAGCACGTCGGTTCAAGGACAATACCAGACATCACATCTACAGCTGCAGAGTCAGACCTCAGCTTTCACAGCATTTAATGCTGGAAACTGTCAGTGAGAAGTTGTTGCACGCTGCCACTTTTAGGACAAGCCACGACCAGCAAAGTCAACTACGGGGAATCTCATCAGGATAAGATTTCACTGCAGGGTGCCCAGAACCCCTCTCCACTTCCCACTTAAGGGTACCTCTCCCACGGATGCCAACAGCGCCTCCTGGTGGACATGGAGCTCCCAGACTCCTGTGGGGCATCCAAGCCTTTCCACGTCAGTGTTGCTGGGCAAGTAATCCTTCTAAAAATGGGGGTGGCGGCCACTCCTCAGGGAATGACAAATCTGCCTGAAGATTTAAACAGGTGAGCACAGGACTGGGCAGACAATAAAGACTGCTTTGGTCAGAGGTCATGGGGCTTCATTAGCTTAGAAATGTGGAACAAGGGGATTGTAAATACTGAAATCATTTTCCCTTCTGTTACAGCAATAAATGTCGCTCACTTATTTCTTCAGCAAATACTTACTGAGCACCTACTGTGCGCTCTTTTGTGACTTTAGATGCAGCAATTAAAAAGCTGCAGCACATTCTAAGTGTTAATGTGATAAATGCTGCTCTTTTCCTAATTGTAGTTTAAATCCCTGGAGATGCTCAGGCTCATTCTCACTTGGGAAATCCTGCAGGATAAAGCTGCCTGGGGTCAGATAAAAGTTCTTCCTGTTTTCACACCTGAATGGTGACCCATGACCAGGTTAACACCAGGGTGGGGCAGGAGGGGGCCCTCAGTTAAGTGGGAGTTACTTGAGTGTGTGATTGTACTGGAGATGAAAGTCTTTTGATTGTATTCTTCATCATAGAACTAGTATCACCCCTAATTTTTCCCCTGTAAGAAAAATGTGAAAGTGTTAAGCGCAGAGCTGATGTCACACAAACTCAATTATTCTTCTCTTTTGATCACATAATCCTTTCCAAGAACAAAGTTTCAAGACAAAGTCTGCGTGTTCCTTCTGGTCCCCACATTAAAAAAAAAAAATTAAACAAAAAACCTGTTTGATCTTCTCTTCCAGAAGGCTACTTGTAATTAGAGGCTGAGAACTCACAAGTCTGATTTGTGAGTTACTTCAGCCAAGTTAATCACCAACTCTGTTTCTAACCCCTTGACAGAACAATTCACAGCAGCATCTCAACAGCTCCTTCCTGTGACACGTGTCTCAGGCACTTCTGTCGGCTTTTGTGGGCCTCGCAGAGCTCAAGTAAGGAAGGATGTGTCTGGGTGCAAACACGACATAAATATGCTGCCATGACTTGATTAACTGGGCAGGTAAAACAATTGATGAAGGTTCCACTCAATAATCAGCTCCTTCCCTCTGCAACGAAGCAGCCGAATCACAGGAGAGGCTGCAAAGTTAGCGCCCGTCTCTGCAATACCGGAAGATACAGGAGTCCTGGGGGGCATCTCAAGACACCAGACTTCCTGATTCTCTAGCCCAGAGCAGTTAACAAGTCGAGGTGATTGGGCTAAGTGGACAGCAACACTGCAGCTCCATCCTGGCTACTTTGTAGGGACAGCGACTTTTAAACAGGACGGATCTGAATTTCTAATTTAAAAGAAATTACACACACTAATAGAGTTAACTCCATTAAACAGAAATCTTTCTACCCGGAGGAGCCATCATCCAGAGTCTTCAATCATCTGGAAAGCAACCGGCACTTGGAGGAGGCCAAGTAGCCAGGAGAAGACACAATGGTGAAGCCAGTCTAAGACGGTCCACAGTTCCACGCCCGTTGGGACTCAGAGCACACATCACTTTTTACAGGTCACGTTTACATTCTAAAGACGAAGAAGCCCTCAGTAGGTACATGCTCTCCCCCATATTTTGTCACAATGACGACCCCATTCAACCTGAGCCCAGTACTGGGGCAGCTCGGGTTGGCTTTGCTCGCTGGCACTGCTGTCCCTGATCTTGCGCAGCAGGGACAACCCGGTACCCGGGATCTGATGCCAGGATCCCAAGTGGCCCCCACCAGGAGAAACCGATTTAATGCGTTCTTAACAGAACAGCACTGAAACTCAAGCAAACAGGAACGCATTCTAAAATTCCGTCTACGTGAGGAGTAGGCAGAGCAGGGTGCAGCCCCAATGCGCGGCTAAGCGTGGGCGCGCAGGTCCGGGCCACTTTCAGGATCAGGAGGGCTCCCCCTGCGCCTCGGGCCTCCAGGTCCGTCTCCTTTGGAACTGAACTGCGTCCATGAAATCCCACAGGGTGCCCCTCAATCATCGCACAGCCCGTCCACCGCGCTGCCCGCACCGGGAGGACCCGCTCCCCGCGGCCCGGCGCGCCCCGAGCACCCCCACAACCCCCGCGCGCGCTCCTTACCAACTGCTCCTGCAGCGCCGCCAGCGCCGCCTCCAGCCGCAGCTCGTGGGAGCGGGGGCCGCGG